ATTTTATGTGCAAGAGCTTTATCTAAGAAGTGATTACTATTGTGCCATGTGTTCTTGGTGTCTCCGGGTTCTTGATCCATTTTGCTGAGTGAATAGATTCGAGTGGGATGTTGTTTTGTTCGCTTAGTTTGATGATGAATTCTTTGTCTCCTATTTTGAATTCAGCAGGAACATAATTGAAGAGAATCGGGTATCGGGTTTGGGTTGTTTCGAAGTCCTTGTGGGCTAGTTTAGTCCATCGGTGTTTGTTCTCTAGTAGCCATTTTTTGATGAATCTATTTTCCATGGTCATTATAATGTCGCCCGATTTTAAGATTGCTGCACTTTGAATCTTGACTGGTTTATCGTTGATTTTTGCGTTGAGTGATTCTAAGGCTGAGTTTATTTTCTCTACAATCGTGATGTTTGTCATACCTTTGAAAGGTTCAGCTTCTGAGTTCTTGTGCATGATGAGAGTTGCCGACTTGAATTCATTGATTTCGACATTTTTGGGTGGAGCTTTCGGTGTCTGATTAGTATTCGTGTCGTTTTTAGGGTACGGGTTTGTCCAAGCTTTTGGTTTCGCAGGTAATTGGATCCGTCCTGGTTGTAGTATAGGTTGCGGTTGTAGTTGCACCGGCGTAACCTTTTCCGCTCTGAGTTGGCGAATCTCTTCTCTGAGTTCGTTGATCGTGGCGTTGAACATTTTGGACATGCTGTCCATCATTTTGATAACAATTTGAAGAAGGACGTCGTTCGCTTGAGGGTTTGTCGATGATAGTGACCTGAGTTCGCTCATCATCGAATCCGTTTCGTCCGATCGAAAGGCAGGATTTTTTGGGGGAGGGTGATCCGGATCACCTGCGTCGGTGTCCGGTGGACGTTTCTGAGGCATATGGTGATGGTTCGAGGGTTTATTGGCTTCAATCTCGATCGAATGATAAGATACCGATGAATGGTTGAATGGTTGAATGAGAATTCTCCGATCGAGTGAGTGATGATTTTTAACCCCACCCCAATTTCAAGTTCCAATGCAGAGAACCTAAGTACGTCGGGCGGCCGAACTGCAGACCGACATGTGGCCAAGACCGATGTCAGACCTTGAGATTCCCGGGCCGACCTAAAAGGTTCCCGTGGATGTCGTCTCAAGTCTCACGGGTCGGTTTCGTCGACACTTCATCAACTTCTCAACTCAAGTTCAACTACCGACTTCTCATAGTTCCTTCCTCAAAATGGCCAAGATATTCGAGATTGCTAAACAAAATCTAGGATTGTCAGTCAAGCTTTCTTTTACTCTTTCATTCGAATCACATTCAATGAAACTGACTCTATGCTTTGTATCATCTCTTTAGGTCATCAGATCCTAAACTTAACTTTCGGTCTACCACTTTGACTCATTTATATACATCTCCCAAAACAATTCCGATTTCAGAAACTTCATATTGGTCAATATATTCAACTATCTTTGACTTCGCCTCGGATGTTCCGATCCTCATCTCTTCCTCAGATATCCGCAAGGCCATTCGTGATCGGCCTAGAAATGTAGCCAATCTTCTTCATGTCCTGATTCATAAGCTCGATGAACTTGTGCACTCACAGACTACTCGCCGAGATCTTGAAGAAAAAGACCGTGGAGAACGTGGTTCTGAAGATTCTAACGGTTCAGGTGCATTTACCAGTCAATGGAAAGGATTTAGCAAAAGAGTCCCTAGCTCACTCTACCAGGGCGCTGCCAATATTGTTGGCGTTGGAAGTAATGGTAACATACCCAAGGGACCACTGCGGGAAATACTCAACTGTGTCAGGGTCTTGACACGTATCTTGCCTTTTCTCATGGATCACACTCCTCTGATCGACCCCTCGATGTCTTCCCCGATCAACGCTGCCGCTGAACTACGACTGGCTGGTCAACCTGAATGGAGCAAACCGCTTGACAAATCGGAATGGGTTTATCACTTGTTTTGGGAGAGCCATTCGATCTCGTCTGAGAAAGACGAAGATGAGCTTGCAAGTGTTACAGAACGGACCTTGACACCGGTTACACCTCAGTTTGTGATCGATGAAGAAGAAGAAGAAGAAGAAGAAGAAACAACGGAAACTAGTAATCTAAATCCTAGTAGGCCAGATGCCACCGAGGGTAATCCATCATCTTCTCACGTGTCTTCGAATCAACAACCTCCATTGTTTTCCATCTTACTCGACACTATTGCCGATCTCCTCTTCCTTCCTGGTCTATGTGTTCCTGCATCAACAAACGGCATTGATGTGCGTTACCCAATTTGGACTGGCGGTATCGGATGTTCACAGCTGCCTTTGGAACATCGACAAGCACATAACTCAGCGAAAGTGGAAGTATTGCGACTCTTACTCGTAGCCCTTTCTCAGCCACTCTACCGCCCACCTCATCTTTATGGTAGCAGTACAACCGAATTGGTTCCAGAAGCTGGTCACCCGCTCGCTTCAGTACTGCAATCTCCAAACCCAGCATTGACTTACTTCAGTACCAAGACCTCCAAACCTTTCCTGCTCTCCCTTCTATGTAGTCTCCTCAACACCTCACTCGCTCCGTCCAAGACACCTCTCAGAAATTCAGCAAACGCCCTCACAAATATTGCCACCGGACTGGGCAAAATGGCACAAGAAAAGATGGGTTTCTCATCTTCCATAAGTCCAACTTCAACAGCCAAGAACTCTCAGATAGAAAACTCTTCTACTTCCACTGGTCCTCGGCGCCCAAGTCTCACCACTGCACCTAGTAGCTCCAATTTGGGAGGGGCAAGTCAGGCGACTTCATCCGAGGGCTTGTCCAGCTGGTGTGCAGAGCTTCTCTGCTTACTCATCCTTCCTGAATTACGGAACAAGACTTCTACGCCATCTTCGACAACATTTCAAAGCATTACACTTCCTGCTCTTGACGCATCACAGCCCATGTCTACGGAATCTAAGAAAGTGACAGAGGCGAACGGGTTTCGGCTTTATCTCTCCAAACTACATCGACCCAACGATCTAAATTTTCTCCTTGACCACCTTCTCGCCGTCATCACCAAGCCAATGGGTGTCACTTCACAACTACTCCTTCCTGACGCTGTTTCCTCTACAGCTACGGCCAGTTCACTTCTAGCACCCTCAGGATGTGATCTTACTGAGGCTGTGATGATGCTCTTCGTGGCCCTGGATTGCAATTCGCGTCTCTTACCGTATCTCACAAGTTCACGTAAAATCATTCAACTCGTCATTGCACTTGTCTTCATCTGTCTTGAGCAAAAAGATGCTCCTAAACCCAAGATGGGTCTAGTTCGAGTTTGTGGTATTTTATTACAAGTTCTTACAGCCAAAGAATTGGGTGTACTTGTGAATGAAAAGGTAGAATTACCGGTAGGCATTCGAGCTCGATACTCAGTACCAGGTTCATTGGCAGACTTTTTGATAGTCTCGATCTGCTCGATCATCTTCAGTACTAACAAGGAGGCGGCCGTAGAGGGAAGTGAGAGTGGATTTACAACTATCTATCCTTCGTTGATCATCACAATCACCAATATGAGTCCGTATATAAAAGGCCTAGGAAGTCTTGCCTCAGCTCGACTTGCCCAATTACTTACTATTTTCAGTGCGCCTCGATTCCTTTTACGCGAAGATGGAAATGTGAGACTGTTGTATTACCTACTTGAAGCTTTTAACAAGTAAATCAATCTTCTCTTCAGTTTCACAAATTCTATATCTGAAATACTAACATGAACTTGCTTAAATAGTGTGATTCATTATCAAATGTCAGATAATCCAAATTTGATTTATGCTTTGATTAGAGTACATCCTCGATTTGATTATCTTGCAACTTTTACACTTCAAGATGGATTAAAAGAAATTCAACAACGTAATTTGATACGTAGATCATCTGAAATTTCAAATACAAATGAATCAGCTAGATCTAGTTTAGGCTCAGATCGATCTAAAGGAAAAGGTAAGATGAAAGCAACAGAAGGTAGTGTGATTGAAGGATCAATTAATGAAGATTGTGAAGAAGAATTACAAACCCAACCACCACCCGAGATGGTAGAGGAACGTATGAGAGGTAGTGTGGAGATTACTGCCGTTAGTGTGGGACGGAATGGGTTTGTGCCTACTGAGACATGGGTCACTTCTTGGAGGGATAGGTAGGAGTGTTTTTTTCAAACGGTTAGACTACTGGGAGAAATTATTGAGGGTTCTCCTTTTTTTTCGTAGTTTGCCACTTGATACAATTCAAATCATGATCACCGAACTTAAACCGAAATGTAAGCCATTTGCCATATTGTAATCCTATGTCCATTTGCTAACATCTAATGATTTGCCCGCCCCTTCATTCTAGTATCCTCAATTACACCCAACACAGCAACAGAAACTACATTAACCCTCTTAAGTTCAGCCACATTAGTAGGACACTTACCAGCACCAACGAAACCTAAATCCAGAAGCTTTAATTTGACAAGTTCAGGAGCTTTAAGTTGGGTAGGAGGATTAGTTTGGTCCTTAATCTTTCTAAAAGATTCGAATTCACAAGTAGGATATTTTAATGGGATTGGAATCGAATTGTTTGGTGTTAAACATTTGACCAGTAATAGTAAGAATGATGGTAGTAGATTGGCTATGATTTGGAAACCTTTTGTTAGAGGTAGTAGTCTTAGTACTGATGGATTACCTGATTCACAACCACCACCACCACCACAACCATCAATGGTTAGGTAGAATCTCCAAAGATTTTTGGTTACTTCTTTATTGAGATTATAGTCTTTGGGGACCGTTTGGAAACAAAAGAGATTATATTCGGTTTAATTGATTATTGATCAATTTGAACTTCTGTTGTAAATATATATATTTATGTTACTCTATTCATCAATTGAATTTGCAGAATGATGTACTTTTGTGAAAAAGTTATTAAAGTGCCGGTTTTTTTTTGGAAAAAGAGGCAGCATGAGATCATAAATGAAGTGATTGAAGATGAGGCTTCGAACCACAAATTGAAATAACTAGAGTTGCTTTGTGCTAGTTCTGGTAGTTTCTAAAGGACTGAGGGTTTTAAACCAAAGTGTAACTTGTTGAAAGTTATTTTTCTACCTTTAATCAACCTGCCAGATTACTCACTGACTTCTACTAGAGAGAAGTTGACAAGCTCAACTCGAGAGGATACAGAAGGACTTTCTGGAATGAGGATTTTGAAGTGCAGTGAGGGAGAATTTAAAGCTTGCACTGGTAGAATGGGGTGTTTTGCAAGACTCTGGAAAGATGGAAGCTTGGAGGATGCGAGTCTGATGAACTTGAGACTGGTTGGACATTTGATGTGTGACACTGATAAAGTGAAGGACGCGTTCCAGGTACTTAGCTAAGAGCATCCGCACTCGTTTGCGGTTGTTAACTTGGTCACGTGCGGTAACAACCGCTACATTAAGCAAAAAATGACTTAACTCAGCCAAATTTCGCACTCGTTTGTGTTAGTAGCACTGTAACGTTTGTAACTTTACCGATAATGCATGTGCTCCACAGTGGTCATGCAGTAAGGTAACATTCAATTTTTCAAGTACGATTTCAAGTTTAAGAAAACAAAGGCTATATTTGAATACATCTATTGATCTTGTGAAAATTATAAAGATTTGAAACTACACAAGAAAGATGAACAATCTGAACCAATCCAAACTTTTTTTAATGTTTGATTCAGCTTTTTTCAACTGTTTGGTTTGTATCTCTTGATCTTAAAAGTCTTCCAGTCATTAGTCTTTAGAATTCAATTTTCTCATCTATCTCTATACATATGTGAAGTCTGAAATTCTTCATATTGATTTGATTGGTTTGAAGTCGAGTTGAAGATTTTCAAACGACCTATTTTAGAACAAAAAAACAAAAAAAACAATCGTAAAAACATCGATTGGTGTTAAAAGGTCTTGATTCAATTCATGTGACTGGGTGAGAGAGGTGAAAAGACGATGTTTGTTGTTGACTTTGGTATTGGAGATTGGGCTGAGTTGAGTTTTTGGAGTTGTAGTTGCTGTGAACAGGTCGTGATGTGTGCTACCGCATGCGTTAGCCAATTGGTAGATTTACCGATTCGCTAACGCAAACTGATGAAAAATTAACTACCGCGGGGCTAATTGTTCACCGGTGCGGAAAAGACCCCGCGGTTGCGTTAAATTTAACCTTACCGCACTCGATTTACCGCACGAGTGCGGATGCTCTAAGATTGGATGCCAACACATCATATTGAAACTTTCACAGTGAATAAGTTTCATTTTCTACATATTTCCAGTCCAGAGCCAAACTTAACTAAGTCCCTCGCCAACGGCCCGAGGCATATGATATGGAAAGTGCTTCCAAGTGCTCTTTCTTCAAGAGCAACTTTTGTTACATGAGTACATATATTATGCTCTCTGCAACTTCGGCTTGAGTGGGAACTAATAGAGCTTTGTTTTATAGACATATATTTATGAGCTGGCAGTTTGTCAAGGCATACCAGGTAGACAAAACAAAGATAGCACGATTGGTGAAACAGCAGTTTCAGCAAAAACGTCTTTCCAGTCGCCTGGATCATCCTGACGCGGTCAAGACCTTTGGCTGAAACCCGCAGCAGATACAGCTAGTACATAGAGGTTAACCACTCAGCAAAGGACACATCTCACATCACCGAGAAGCAGTACTTCCAGTCACCTTATGAGACTTCTGAAAGTTTGAGCTCATGTAATGGCTCGTGGCGCTTCTTTTATACCTTTGCACAAAAGTGACTTTAATGAGCCCAAAAAAAAGTATCGCAATGTAGAGTTTTTTTGCTGAATACAGCCTACTTCTCAGGCGAGAATTCACGTTTTTGAGGTAAGTCCCTCGCTCGAGCCTCGGGCCGTTGGCGAGGGACTTAGTTAAGTTTGGTCCAGAGCATGTTCTCGGAATGAAGACTTGTTAAACAAACCATTAACTATTCACTCATAGTCGATATCAAATCAAACACTTAACATTACCCTTTTGTACATCCATCAAGAGATGCAAATAGGATGAATTCAATCTGACTCATTCGACCGAGACTACGCATAAATCGACGAGCCTTCATTCAGAAGCAGGATGACTGAACTTCAACCCATTCCCAATTACTCTCTGGCACCTGCTTTCTTATGCCCATTCGGATGGCCAACCGATCCTACCTACCCAATCGATGTAGATGCAAGTATCACTAACACCGAAGGAGCCAGTTCGACAAACAAATCTGACTCTTGTACACCTACAGCAAACTTATTTCAAACTTGGGCAGATATCTTTGAACTGAATCATTCTGATGAAGATGAAACTGAATTAACTCGAATTTATTTAGAAGCATTATATTTACCCGATTCATATTCAGTAAATACTCAAGTACGCTTCTTTTTTCTCTTGTTTAACTTATTTTTACAAAAACGAAATGTTGAAGAAAAATTGAATTGATTGGTTTGGTTTTTTGATTTAGTCACCTATGATTACATTAGTACAAAAGATTAAATCATTATCAAATGAATATAGTGCTGAAGAATTAGTCGAATTTTTAGAATCATTTTTAATTTCAGAAAAATTATTAGCCAAGAAATGGGATAAAAGTGTACCAGGATATGTAAATTATTTTTTACCAAATGATAATATAACTCAACCTGAAATTGAAGAAGAAGAAGAAAACGTTTTTCAATTTAATGAACTTGATGTCATTCGTGCTGTCGTGGATTATCGTCATTATCAATCATCTAAACCTAATTCATCTGGTCTTGATTCTAAAACTAATAGATATACCGGTAAAGAAAACTTTACTAGAAATGAATCTACTAAACAACAAATCGAAACCTGGGCAGCCAGAGAGTAAGTTTTCGCATCTTATCATTCCTTTTTCACTTTAATCTGGCCAGTCGTCTATATCCGTCCTGACATACTGTCATTTGAATCTTTGATGATAGAGCTCAAATTCAAATTATCTTCTTACTAGAGATCATAGTCCTCACAAACCAATCTTCAAACCAAGGTTCACAAATCCTAACACATCATACCAAATTACTTTCATCACCACGAAAACCAAATCGACAAGAATCTACCAAACCAATCGATCAAATCGAAGCCGTATCAGATTTAGAACAATTACTTGAAGGTCTTATTGATAGATTAGCAATGTGGCAACTTTTATCTGACTTTGGATCTTCAGAACTTAGCAATCTATTTAAAAGCTCCGATCCTTCTGTAAATAAATCATCACATTCTGATCTTGATGAAGCTCAACGTTTTTGGACAGACATAGTGGAAGAATAGTGAGTCAAGACTTTTTAACTTCTCGTGCTGATCATTGACGTATGATTGCTAATCTGCTTGGGTCCGATACTAATCAATTGATCAATCAGTTATACCCATCAAATACCATTACTTAACTCATCATTCCGACCAAAATTGTTTCCTACATCGATTTACGAACCAACTGGATCATCACTTATCCCCACTCAATTCGATTCCTCAGCCAAACACCATCCCTTATCGTCTATCACCCGAACCCCAAACCTAAAAGAACTGGACCGACAACAAGGCTTACGAGAAGCCGCGCGTGCTGCTAAACTATCGACTCTTAGTCCTACACTCAACGACAACCCTCAGAAAAAGAAACGACAAAGGTTAATGAAGAATGCATCGATGAGCGAATCACAATTAGCTTTAAGTCATTTGAATTCGAATCGATTGGGAATCAATTCTAGATCACTTTTTAGTAGGAGAGAAGTCAGTATGACTCATTTACCTTTTAAAAGTAAACTTAATCATACATTACATAGAAGAAATCAGTCTCTTGCTTCTGCTTCTGGGAGTGGGAATGGGAATAAAGGGATTTGGAATCAAAAGGATCATAGAAAACAGTCTTTACCTAGAAGTAAGTTTGAAAATTAGATCTCTTTGGAACGAGATCTTCTAGGGAACAGGTTAAGAAGAGGTTTTGATTCCTTTTCGGGTGTTTTTCTTTGAAATTAGAAATCGATTCTAACTTAGATTCTCGTACTCAACTGCTTGCAACTCCAAGTAAATCGATTAAAACAAGACGTAAGAATTCCCTTTTTTTTCTTTCCAAGATCATATAGACACTTCTACAAACCAAACACAAAACTGATGGATGATTTTGCTTTTTGGGTTGATGAAACGTTGGTGATTTGTTTTGAGATCATTAGAGTTTCCTGAAACTAGAATCCTTGTACCTGATACACCTCATCATCGTAGAGAACTTGTACCAGATACACCTACTTAGAAGAAATATCCTATTCTTCTCTTTTTCTGTTTGTGTAGGAGAGTAAGATGTTTTTTTATTTCCAGTTTTGGAAGTTAATAAAAGTTAGGAAATGAAGAAAGTTTGGTGGATTTCTAGAGTCCTTTTGGGTTCTGCTTGGATCGTGTAATTTTTTTTTGGTGGGTGTAATGATTATGTTTTTAATCTTCTCGTTATTTTTTTGTGATTTGGTTTTTAAATTTTTCAAATTGATACTTGGATTGAAATGCAAGATATAAATTGGTTGGGTTCTTGTTCTGATCACTTCATGTGTTGATAAGATCTTTGGGCTGAGAGAGAATTGAAGGTATTCTGTTGGACAGGATGATACATGTATCTTGGTCAAATGTCTCCAAAGGATCATCTTTTTATCGTACACTGACTTACACATGCATATCTAGCCTCAAAAAAACACCAACTGAGGCGTCCCCGCATCCCCACAGGGGCCAATGGACGCCCTGGGACGCCGTGGTTCAGGGGATTTACAATAAGTTCCATCTACATTTACGGTCAAGTTTAGGTTACAAGCTTTATATATATATATGTTTGTATGTCTACAGTGATCTATATATATATATATATATATATATCTTTTACACTCCGAGCTTTCAGCCTGATGCTACCTTAACTAGACCAACGTAAGTTGAGAGTACTGTGAGGGGGGCTGAGCCATGAGGTGTGCCGGGGCCATTGCAGGACACTATTTCTAGGACCCTGTGTGGTTTGACATCCTCATGGTCTACCTTAGGCTCAGAGCTACGTAAGAGCATCCACAACAAACTTTTGACAAATTTGAAAAGTCTGAGTAGGGTCAATTTGGCCTTCAAATCTCCTTGTCCATAGTGGACTGTTCATTTTTGAACTATCATATTCTGTACAAACATACCTCAACCTTGCTTGAAGCAATTTGATCAGCCAGATCATCACTCATGCAACACACTTGATTTGTTGAGTGTGTTTAATAAGGCTCAAGACACTTAAAAATGGTCTTTAACACGTGTGATGAAATTTACATTAACACTATCTTGATCAATGCTGACACCCAATGTTTTGAGAATCAAGTGATGTCTTTCACAGAGTTTTTGAAATGAGATTGAGCAAATCAACCGTTATGAAAGTGGAATGGAGGTGATATGACAGAGAATCCCCATCAAGTTGTCCACATGAAGTGCTGTCACATGATATTTTGACCCTTCAAGATTTTTGAATCAACCTTTAAATTGAAAGATCAGGTTCAAAAATTTGAAAAATTGAAAGATGAAAATTTAAAATTTAAAGAGTCTGCTGTGGTCAAATTGGACGTTTTCACCCTCAAATTCAACATTTGAAAAGTCAGCTGTGGATGCTCCAAAAGTGCCTGAAAGGCCCAGAAGGGTCAGTCCTCGTCTGTTGGGATGGTGGGTGGGTCGGAAAAGATCAAGCTTTAAGAATAAGCTTCACAACCTTGGGAAAGCTTGTCTTTCCAGGAAACTAGGCGGGAAACAGAAGTGGTAAAGAGTTTAAAGACTCGGCGCAAGGGACAGGGAGCGAGGTCCCATCACATTAATGAAAATGCAAAGGAGCACTGAGAGAGGCATAAATTTAAGCAATATTCATTGTTATTCTTTAGGTATCACAAACTAAGGCAGAGGAACTAAAAAGGGATTATGCATTGTATGTTGCCGTTGCCGTTGCCGGTGGGCTTCTGAAAGGTCCGCAATGAACAAGCTAAGAGCAATTTGGATGTAGACCGACATGAGAACAAAGTGTACAAGAAGTAGGCCCCAAGGTAGGAATACCAGAAGGATGATGCAAACTAAAAAAACGGGAAACGGACTGAAAGAAACTCTGCACAAGGGAAGCGCGAACAACGATCTGAACGAAAAGACTAAGATTCTAGATCAAACCGAGGAGACCACCGTCAAGAAGACCGCCCACAGCGGTACCAAGGTTTGCGACCAAGAGACCGACTCCTTGTAAGAGAGCACCAAGGCCGTGGAAGAGAGGGTCGAGGATGACGATGAGGACGTGGAGTAAGGTGCTGAGGAGACCAAGTGATTGGAAACAGCCATTGGGACCTCCTGGTACTGGAACTGGGAAACCTCCGGGTACTGGAACTGGCACACCTCCAGGTACTGGAACTGGCACACCACCTGGGAAACCACCTGGAACACCTGGGAAACCACCTGGACCGAATCCACCTGGAACTCCGGGGAATACACCTGGAACTCCGTGGATCCAGCTATCGACTGGGAAACCGAGAGGTGACCAGAGCTGAGGGTTGAAGTTGCAGGCGGAGAAGAATTGTTGAACCTCGACATGGAAGGTGATTGCAACACCGACGATCGATTGGATCAAGACAGATAGAACGGCAAACGAGGCTAAATGTAGTAGAAATAGTCAGTAATTCAGAACCCGACCTTAGCTTATATGGTTCAAGGAGGAGAACAGGTACTGACATTGGAAGGAACCGATAATACCAACACATTGAGTGTTGATGATCGTGAGCATGCTTTGGATTTGAATGATCAGCGGGGAAAAAGTGGAGATGAACTAGAGACAAGATGGGTTAGCAAACAGCTGAGCTCTCGAAACCGAAATAGAGGAAAGACGTACGACTTGAGGGTTTCCTTGGAAGGAACAACCGCCTTGTAAAGTGGAGAACAGAGTTGAAAGACTGGTGACCATGATTTGGAACTGAAGTAAGATGGATTGAGGGTCTAGGCCACCGTTCCAGATGTTGACGGTGTTGGATGTGATGACAGTGTAGCTTTGAACGGTGGAAAAGAAGGTGTTCATGGGTGGTAAACCACCGCCGCCGTGGAAGACGACGGGAGCATTCCAGCATGAAGTGGGCCCTGGAACAGGAAGACCTCCACCACAGCCACCAAAGCACTTCATCTTGACATGATCGCTACGAAAGTACAAGTGATAGTCAGTGACATCGCTCTACAAAGCTAGAAAAATTCAGACTCACTCGCCGCCGGCCTGTTCTTCACTACGAACGCTCAACCGAGCAACTGTCTCGGTTCGCGCCCTGAAGATAGACAAAGTCAGCATCGACTCATGAAACGGAATCCGAATGCAATCGCTTACAAATGACGCGGACTGGCAGCAGCGGAGGCTAAGAACAATTCAAACAGAACAAGACCTCAGTTTTGCTCGAAAGAGAGTGCGGACGATAACCAAGGAACTCACCAGCAAGCACAAAGCCAAGGTAAGCGAAGGAGATATGCATCTTTGTGGATTTAGGAATAATGAGTGTAGGATGAAGGGATCGGAAAAATTACTACGATCAAAAGAAATAAAATTAGGTCTATGTCGTGAGGGATTTTCGAGAAAAGGAAAGGCAGGTATTTACTAGATGAAAAGGATAGGCAAAAGGCCAGTGATGAAGAGCGGATGAGGGTTGAAACAGGTTGCTTCTGATGCTCATCTTATAGTCGAATTGCTTCGATTGCCAGACGGTAGACCTCATCATCAGGCTTGACACAGAACTTGTGATCATGAAGCGCTGTTGGATTTGATATAGAACCACCCAAAAAGAACATCAAGAATTCTGACAGCTGCTCAATCTTTGAATCTTTTCAAATGGATTTGAAAAAGAAAGGACACTTCAAAAACAAATTATCTCATTTGAGCTCAAGAGTATCAATGTGATCGGACTGGAATCCTAATTTCTGGAACATGTCAAATCAACCAATTTGATATCCCAAAAATCATTAATTTCATCCTCAGGATAATCATCACCTCGATACAATTGCTCATCCGAAAAAGGCCTTTGAAACTTCCGAAAGCAGTGCAGGCACTCCCATAGTGCTGTCTCTTCTGTCTCATATGTACATCTTTCTTCGTGACCGGCAGACTCAGCGACCAATTATGTCTGTCAAAATGACCATGGTGTGTTGTCGAATCAGTCGAATCTATGTATCAATCATGATTTATAACGTAATGGAGAAGAACGATTTGGGTATGCTGTACAAGCTATTGATGATATTCATGAGTTCCCTACAGAAATCTCAGTTGAGATCCATGCAAGGGCAAAAAAGTGTTCAGTGGAATAGAATTAATCACCTCATATAAAGACAAATAAAGTCCTAAATGACTGATTATATGAATGTATGGAACACCAAAACTGGCTTGCTTGTGTCAGTTTCGATCGATACCAAATGCTTTTCAAAAAGTTTGACACACAAAACTTAAAGGTGGAGTTGGACTCACATACCAAAGGGTTTGGAAGCCTTTCTTGCTCTGGTCTGAGGTAGTGGCGATGGTGGAACTTGCAGGGTCAAAGAACAAGTCTTCAGATCAAACATCTGGCAAAACCTGTTCAACCCGCTGTATGCCGATATTGGGCAAGTGCTACGGGGTGTAGACAAGACTTGGAGAGGTAGCGGTGGCGTGGCGCTTTGGACTGCTTGTACATCCACCGGTTCACTTGTAGCGGCCGCTACAGAACTCGCCCGCAGTTGCCCGCGACCGCTTTGTACAGCGGATAATGATTGCTTCAGATGTTGGAGTCACTAGTTTGAAAGGCTGAATAGCAACAAGCCAGGGAAAAGATTCAAAAAGGTCACGACGAGTCAAAAAGATCTTGGCCAGAGTCCAGACATCAACCCAGGTTAAAATTCAAATATGCTTTTATACCACAGTTTCACCAATCCGACCAAACACTCCGGTGATATGGTAACTCAACACAATCCGACGTCTCTGCTTGAAATTTTGAGATCGGTAGACTGGCGCCTCCTTGAACTTACCATAAAAGTTCTATGCCGGTCACTCGCACCCCGACAGTCTAGGTGAATTCACCGTCTCGCAAAAAGTGTTTGTTGGCTTGACATGCAAATCGGTCTTACTAGCAATGCGTTCAATCTCGAAGCGGTTGCGGTAACAAAGAAGAACATCACTTTGATCAAAGCTGGTGTTGATCTAAAAAAGAAATTGAAGCTTTGATATAAATACGAGCTGAATTCATTGATCTTTGCCCACTTTATTCCGTTGTCCATCAATCTTACCCTTCTCAAAAGACTTGAAATACTTTTCATACCAGTGAATACTTACTCCATAACATCTTCTTGACAATCTGAACTTTTAAAAACTCAAAGCTTTCTAACTCTCACTTAAGGGTTTATACGTGAAATCTAAACCAACCCTTCACATTGACCAACAACAATAAACTTCAACCAATCAGACACCTAAAAATTTACCACGCAATCTAGTACCACAATGAATCTCGGGCAGCTTCTAATTGTATGCAGTACTCTTCTTGGATTAGGGATTTGCGTTGCGCCTCTACCTAGCTATCAAAATTGCAGAAGGTTCTATGGGCCGACTAAAGATGGGAAATTTGGCAAGTCATCATCTTCAAGTCCATTTTCTTGAGATCATTTGATTCTTCTTTCCAAACAGACAGATCTGACATATTGAGCCTCGAATTGGTTAGCTTGTCAGAACAGTGGTGGCAAAGCATACACTTGTTCACCCGCTAAACAACACCCCCGACTCCCGATGACCGGCTGTGTCCCTTACGCGGACCCCAAAAACTTGAAAAAGGGAGTTACGAATGCAGCACCTGTAAAGAAGGATTGTGATGCAGCAATAGCACAAAAGGAACCTGGGCCGCAGGGCAAATATTATATTGGTGTGTTTTGTCGATTTGATACATCACAGCAAGGTACCAACGACTGAAGATTGATCATGATTCATCTCTAGATTGTGCTGAGGTTCAGATAGTCAAAGATAAAGTGAAACTCACTGCAGCTTATAAATGTGAAATAGGTCCCTATGTTGGGCCTTTGAAAAGTGAGTTTCTTTGAACTTCTTCCAGATGACATTGCCTGAAAGTAATTGGGAAAAATCTCTCGTGTGGTACACAGCCTTGCCAGGTTGCATTCTCAATACCGATCAAACCATTGTTTAGTAAGCCAACCTAATTCCAAGCACTCTGCCTTGACATCATCAAGAGTTGAACTAATAGCTCATATCTCTTGACTGGTCTACAGTGATATTGGTTATAATTGGTTCAAATAAAGAGATCTTTGTTGGCACGCAAGCTCTTTGTTATGCTCAACAGTATGATGATATGCAGTACTTGGAAGTTGGGACTCAGTGTTGACTAGGGGGAATGGGAGTAGCCAGAGGTGTCCATACGCCAAGGAGGTACAATTGGTTTCAAAAAAGTAAACAAGAAACCAGAAAAGAACTTACAGATGTATAGTCTACACTACGGTCCAAACTCTGAGGGCCCATATGTTCTCAAAGCAACCATAGTATTGAGCACAAAATATTAGTTCTCAGTCATCTTCAAGTTAGTATAGAAATATGTAATCCAAAAATATATTCTGAATCATTGTATTGAAACACAGCTGCATAATTACGGTATTTAAAGTTGTACATATATATTTTTCTGTATATAGTTTTTCTGTTGTTTCAAAACTCTACACAACCAGGCAAAAGTATATTTTGTTGAGATGTGAAGTTTACCATTTTGCTGACCCTGCTAGCCACACAGCGTTCCCACAGGCAAAGTATGCAACAGGTCCTCAAAGCTAGATACTTTTTGAACTCAACATACTTTTTTTCCCCGCCAAAAAAAACAAGCAAAAAAGGATATAAGGAAATTGTCTGAATGTACATATGTAGCTTTGAAAAGCATACATGAAGAATACATGTAAAGCTGATGTACTCACAATGTGAACAGAAAATATGTCATGAAGAATACATGTAAAGCTGATGTACTCACAATGTGAACAGAAAATATGTACTCTAGTCTTATTGGAGTCTGATATATCCTTTGAACATAAATGTGCCCATCTATATATCCAAGACATAACTTGTATATAGCCTTTGTTTTTATAAAGAGGACCTTAGTTTAGGTGCAAAGCCCCATACAAGGTAGGCTTTGGTTGGTGCATAATCAAGCCCTGAAATTCTTGGAAACCTTTGCGCAAACCAAATGTCCTACTTCTCACTTGACTCTCTTGTTTCCTTGTTTGTCAATTAACAACCTCCTCATTCGCTTTTCTTTTGTCTATGAGGTGTTTATTCTTTGAATGGCTTGTTTTATCAATTCCATATTGCCTCTGTCAATAAGGAAGCTTATTGAGTCAGGAAACCAGCATGTAACACGTGATATATGACCGCTACAGGCTGATTACATATGGTTTACATATCTAATATGGTGTCTGACAATAGTAATGAAGTGTAAAAATAGCAGAATGAAACAGGAATCTGTGGCTAATGATTGTAAAAGGGCTTAAAGAGGAATTGTAAAGAATTTTGGTGACTGTAATGGACAGATTGGTTGTTTGTTGAAGCTTTTCATCTTCCAATGATCTATGTGTAGTTTGTTTTATTGAACAATCTATATCTGTTGAATGTCACATAGTAAAAAAAGAAATTGGATAAGCAGAAAAAGTGTAATTGAATATAAGTAAAAAGAGCAATAACTGGTGTGTGCACCAAGCATGTACATATAATTAGCTATTACATCATACATGTATTCAGTTGTATGTAACTATGTCTTACATGCTGATTTATTATCAATGACTATAGTACATGTGATTGCTTAATTACATGCAATTTATTCATATGTAAAGACACCGGGAATTAACTCGTTCAAAACCTGGTTTACATATCTAATATGGTGTCTGACAATAGTAATGAAGTGTAAAAATAGCAGAATGAAACAGGAATCTGTGGCTAATGATTGTAAAAGGGCTTAAAGAGGAATTGTAAAGAATTTTGGTGACTGTAATGGACAGATTGGTTGTTTGTTGAAGCTTTTCATCTTCCAATGATCTATGTGTAGTTTGTTTTATTGAACAATCTATATCTGTTGAATGTCACATAGTAAAAAAAGAAATTGGATAAGCAGAAAAAGTGTAATTGAATATAAGTAAAAAGAGCAATAACTGGTGTGTGCACCAAGCATGTACATATAATTAGCTATTACATCATACATGTATTCAGTTGTATGTAACTATGTCTTACATGCTGATTTATTATCAATGACTATAGTACATGTGATTGCTTAATTACATGCAATTTATTCATATGTAATGACACTGCGGGAATTAACTCGTTCAAAACCCGATTGAGCAAAATTTCGGTGTCCGGGTTTGCAATTTCCTCGAATCGTGAAACTCGTTCACAACTCATTAGCATTACGTTCGCCGATTTCCCTCGAGTACACTACAATACATACACATACACCGCACTCTCAAAAGCTTTAATTCCAACCGTTCAACAATCTCACTCCTTATCTTGTCCCCACTGAACTCCTTTCTTGTATTTGGTTGATCAAGGCTTGACAAAGGAAGGTGAAGGTGAGTACAATGGTGAAAGGGGTTGTTGTTTTATCATGTGACTGCACATTCATGGGGCCAGCAGAGTACAGAGTATAGCCCGAGGGAAATTGGCAAACCTAATGCTAACGAGTTGTGAACAAGTCTCTTGATTTGAGGAAATTTTGAACCCAGACACCAAAATTTCACTCAATGGGGTTTCAAACAAGTTAATTCCCGCGGTGTGAGGTTTTTGTAAGAGGGTAGATATGCAACTGAGTCAGCTTATGCCCTTGCTGACAGCCTCAGTCAAATGGTTGATTCTCACCAGTTTTTGGGAATTGGATATATTTTCCCTTTGTTCTCAATCCCAGGCATCCATCAATTCATGCTTTGCAAACTTACATAGGTATGTAATCTCTTCCTGAAGTCTTGATGACTCCATGAAACATCAAGGACTGTCAGAGCAACTTTTGACATGTGTGCCTTTCCCAAGTCTCTTGTTGTTATATTTCCTTGATCTGGATTGGATTGGTTCAATCAAAATCTTGCCTCAAAATCTTACCCTCAATGTATTTGCGTCAGACTAAAGTTTTGTATTGCTTTCACATTGGCCATTCATCTAAATCTTCATATCCCTTTTTGATACCCCTTCAGATTGTTTCCTAATTTCACTTGCATATGATTGTGGTGTTTGCATTTCAATCTTGTCTCCAAAAAATGTCTCCGTCACTCTAGATATATCTGTTTGGGATAATTGTTTGTTCTCTCAACAGAAACAAAAATTGGAAAGTATTATTGTATTCATTTCAACTTGCTTGCCAAGTTCTTGATCACTGAAATGTGGATACAAGGAGGTCTCAACAGGAGGCATGGTTGTTTTTGAAAAATGTGCCCCAATCAGAGTAAATTTTCTTTGATCTGCCTGGCATCCCAGTGATCTACACACTTTTGCAACCTTGTGAGTCCTTGGATACACCAATTTAATATGGTAAAAAATATATGCTTGAAATTTTGGTGTTAATGTTGATGTTATGCTTTTGCTATATTGTTTACCATGGATGTTCTCAGAACCTAATGACCAACATTCATGAGACAGACTGTGGAAATATATCTCCATTACAACACTTTTGGACTGTAATGTAGACCTGTGGAGTTGGATTTCTACTAGCTCTATATCTATCAGTCTGTTGTTTTCTCTTAGTGTTTGTTGTTCCCCAGAAAGATATTCTTCACCAAAGATAAACTTGAGAAAAATCAGTTTTGTCCAAACTTTTCCAAATGTGGTTTTGAACTTTTATTTCCTGCTATTCAATGTAATACAGAATCCCTCATTCAATTAGCTCCTTTTTGATCATACCGTTCTCAATTTAGCCTTCTTGCACTAGCTAGTCAAATAGCTCATTTTTAAAAAAATCCTGCCTACCTGTTCCCTGTGTAATAAACTCAAATGTTGACCACTAAAACCTTGTGGACCTCCCACATGTTCTAGTCTCTTTATCTGGTCTTCCATTGCTCTGTTTGTTGTCAGGGGGAAAAGTAAAAATGGGTCTCAGGCCCAATCACATAGCCAACTTTTTCAGGTGGACAGAGCCCCATGTTTGGCAACGCAGATGTGTGTCCTGCAAGCTTGTGTGCGTGTATATATCCTATGGCTGTAGAGTGAGAGGTGGCAATAATTTTCACTCCATTTTTACATTTTTTCCTTTGGACCAAACCTTATCTAGTCTACTGAGTGGCATCTAACTTCAAAAGCGTGTGGTCACCAATGCACAGGCTATCTTATGCCTGGTATCCGTGGAGGCTCCTCTAATTGCCACAAGACAAAGCGCACATCATAATTTGCCATTGACTTCAGACACAAGCTTACTCAAGAATCTAGCAATCAATATCCTTGGGATTGTTTTAAAGGCTGGTGGTGTCAAGGGCTTGTTCTCCTTGATGAGTTTATTAAAGTCACAAAGGCACACAAGTAAATGAAAGTCCAGACACTCAAGTCCATTTCTTATGAGCTGTGTTGCAGGTAAAGACTCACAGAAATCAATCTCAACAAACAAAAACAATACCCACAAGAAAAACACTTCTTCTGAGAATGATGTGACTATAGATTATGTGGACTTTTTTGTACTGTCTGATGTGCTTGAGGCTTTTGCAGATGGGACTTTCACAGAGTCTATGGCAAATAGATTTTCAGACAACTGTGAGGGCTTCATTGAAACTTTTCTTGATACTCTTTCCTCAAGCAAAAGAAAAACAATGCCACTTAATTTGCACCAATTATAGTTGTAGACAATGAACCTTTTAGCTGGCCTGCAGCCAATGTCTTTGATGTTCAATTTTCTTCACCTTTTTTGAATGAAAACCCCCAATAACACAATCTTGGTACCGCACACTGTGCTAACCCCCCTTTGTGCGCCCATTGAGCTGAGAAACTGCTGCATGTATACGCACAGGCTGGAATAAACAGCTACTGTCCACCTGCACAGAGAACAAGTTTACCTTGGATTGAAAAATCCAAGGTATCATCAGAATTAAATCCTTAGGTAGAATCTTTCCAAGGATTTGATCCAAGGTATCTTTGGTGCAAAACAATACCTCAGATCAAAACCTTGGACAAGATCTGTCCAAGGATTTTCATCCAATGATGCCTCAAATTCTACAACCTGAGGTATATATGTTGGTGGTGCTGACTTGTAGATTGCCTTCACTGTGACAAACCCATTCTCAACACACAACACTTGACAACCTAAGAACATGCACACTTCAATACCAACCGTTCTCAGCAGTGTGTAAGCTGATATCAGGCTCAGCACTTGCATGAACTCACTCATTGATAGTCCTATATTTTCCTCAGTGTTTAAGTTTCTGTTGTTCACTGTGAAATATCTCAGTTTAAAAATTGCCATCTGTATGTCTCGTTGTTTCTCATGCTTATATGATCAACATACTCCATCCGGAATATCTCTTCAGACCTGTTGGCTCCAAAGCACCAAACCAAGTCATGGTTAGCAAATTCCAGAGCTGATTATTGATTACTTCAGTGATTATTCAAAGTAACCAATGGTCAATATCACTGGTATACAGCAATTGCCATAATTCACTGTGTAGTATACTCATGCTTAGTTGGAACTACACTGGGGCTTCATGTGACATCTTCCAGGATGGCTAACATGGTATGAGTCCTTGAATTGGCTCCTGAATTCAGGGATTACACATCAAATTCTTATCACCCAGATTCCATACGCAAGATCGGATGTTATGGACATCAATTTGAAGCTAGTAGTAGAATTTAGTTCATTCAAGCGGGTATACATAAACTGTCCTAGCAGACTACATATAAACACATATTTACATAACCATTGACTCTATAGTTTGAGGCAAGCCTTCTTGACATTTTTTGTTTCAACTTTTAACTCTAGCTTTTCACCTTGATAAATAAAATTACATAAAAGTTAACCAAAAATATCAAAGAAATCAAAATGATCAACAAACATTGAATTATGATATGATTTTCAAAATTTGAATTGATTAAATTCTCCTCAGCTTTCATTATCTTCTTTGAACTTGTGAAATAAATCAGAGGTATAATCAAAAATCTAATTTTATCATTTACACCAAAACAACATGAATCATTTGAAAACATCAGGATTGAACTTGACTTTTGCTTCCAGGCAGAGATTTGGGCTTACGGGATTAACAGACTTATAGCAGCTTGAGAGTTGATAAGTAATTGATTAAGACCTGAAAGACCAGAATGATATGCCACAACAAATGCAGGTATTGAACCTAATCCTCTAGTCAATATTCTTCTGATCAAAGCTTTGGGTTTATAACCCATTAATCCATCAGAAATAGATTGACCTGCAAGAGTGGCTGTTAAACTTGCTGCTGATGCTGATAAGAGTAAAGAGATTGAGTAGAGTAAACTTAAACCTTTTCCTTGATTAACTTCTAAGATTGTATACATTGTGATCAGGTTTGGTAGTTGACCTTTATTCACTGTTGTTGAGATGATCAGGATTGATGCATTCAAAACTAATTAAAAAAGCATTATCAAAATTGAGAAGTTGATCTTGACTAATTGGCATTGGGAACATATATCAAAGAAAACTTACTCAGTGGTAAAGTTAAAAAAGATGCTAATATATCAAAACTTGAATGGTTTAAATAAGTCTTGATTTTTGAGGATTTGGTTAATGAATGTGATGACATTGAAAGTGCAGTGGAATTGGATTGATTTAATTCAAATTCTTCTGCAATGCAATGTGCTAATCTTTCTTGAGTTGCTAAATGACTACCTAAGAACAGTGAAGGTGGATTAATAGTTGCACCTAAAAAAATAAACACACAAGGGCTCTGTCATTGAGAAAAGGCTTTTGAGTTTGTCAGATTTGAGAGATTATTTATTACAAACCTATTATTGCTATTGTAGTATAAAGACTATTACTTTTAAATAAATTTGAACTCGGAATAAATCCTTGAAAGGCTAATGTCCATTTTGGTTTAACTTGAACAAGCAAAACAAGTGAAGAGATCACTATAATGAAAACTAATATTGATATACCAATTTCGAAGAATTTCATGGCTTTGCAAGTTCCTTCTCCTCTCATGAAAATCAATACTAAGATTGTATCAAGAAAACTCAGCATTACACAACTCCAAGTTGGTAATTTTGGAAAAATCCTATAAAAAGAAAAATTATTTTCAATCATCAGAGAACTTAAGTATGTTAAAAGAGGAATGCTTTTGAAGAGTTTTGCTCAACAGATTATAGGCTATTGCTGAACCAATCAACTCTCCTATATCTGAAAATCTAAACCATCAAGAAATCATTCAAGTAAACAAAATATGTTTAAAGTCTTGATGAGTATTTTTATACAATCACCACTCACAGTACACTTAATTCGGCCAAAAGCCAGGTTGGGTATAGAAATGTCCATCTCCAAATCACCTTACGTGAAGTTTTCAAATCACACATTTCTTTACAATGTTGACCTAAATCTATGAAGAAAGAAACCCACAATCACATTCAATGTTAAAGAAATTCACAAAAGTGACTTTTTGCAAGCAAAAAAGTTGAGAGACATCTCTTGCTTACCTTTACCTGTAATACAGCCTAATCTTGAACTTAAGATTTGAAGGAAAGCTGCAATTAAAATTGATATAAAGATTATAAACAAATGTTGAAATTTATAATTTAATTGACCTGCATTTAAATCTGTTGCCCAATTTCCTGGATCCAAAAAATTTGTACAAGTAATTAGTCCTGGACCTATAAACTTCAAATGTCTTCTACAGATCATAATCATTTTTTTTACATTTATCTTATTTTGGAATGAAGTTTTTTTATGTTTTGATGGGGTCGATGATGAATGATTTGAGAGCTGTGTAGAGGGTTCCATTGTGAGGTTTATCAATAATTTGATCTGAAGTTAATTTGGTGAATAATTTAATTTTGATGAAGATACCAAAGATCAAGGTCAGAGAGAAATTCTTACTTCAATCAGATGAACTCTAGATTCATCCGATGAAAAGATTGTACAGCTCTCTATGAGATAAGAAATCACCGATAGGGCCCTCTGATCATAAATCGATCCAAAAGACGGGTCAAAACGGATCAGGCTTGTCTCATGAGATTCATACTCCGCAGGCAAGATCGATCCAATTTGAGTCTTTGATTTCGTCTCAGTTTGACATGATTGAGGAGCAGCTTGATTCCGATATTTGCCTTCATCTCTCGAACTCAGCTGTAATAAGATGAGTTAAAGGGATATCTGAGGGGTACATAATATAATGAACGCTTGCCAGTTTCAACTTGCTGAATTAACTTGTAGAGGACTCTGAATCTTAGCGATGCATTACATACCATTTAGTACCGTGCTGGATACACTTCCTGAGATGCAAATATTCACCTACATCGGATTGCCCATAGGTTGTATGATGTTGCAAACAAGTACGATTTGGAGTATTAGTTGACTCCAAGCAATGTTCAAAAAGACTCGAGTAAATTCTATCGCCAAGGGACTGCTGAGCTTTGAAGTTCGATTCAGCATTTGTCTGTAGAATGATGAAGGCGGGCTTCGTAAGAAAAGAGGTTGTTAGGATTTGTAGGATATGAAGGTCGGTAAAATCTCTTGGCCCAGAGTAAGATAAGAATGTACAATATCACCAGTAAACTTCTGAAGCTCAACTCCGTCAGCCCCAACTCGAGGTTCCTGAAAATCTGAAGAGACGGGTTGCTTTTGAGCGGGCGATAATTCGAGAGCTACCATTCGAACTCCAGTACACCTTCATCTCCGTAATTCAGGAATGAAGGCCATCACGTTAGGAAAAGATGAAGAAGGAAGCTCGTTGAAGATTAACTAGTAGGATTCAACCAGATTGTTGAAAGAAAATATGAACACAAGCGTGGAAAGAAACCCTCAATGGCCAATTTGTAAAAACCTCAAGACAGGAAGTTGATTTAAAAATTTTCCTTGTGCTCTGCGTCAATTTTGACACACTCCCTTCTCTCCAAAATCATGCTCAGCTCAAACTGTATAGCATGCATCACTAATGGTGAGATGAGCTCACTTGCATCATGTTGCTACACAGTAGGACTTCGTCCTATTGGCGGTTCTTCAACTTCGAGTGTAATAGAGCAAGAAAGTAATTCCAACAAAAATTCTGCAGCAATTTCGAAGGAGTCCCTTATGTGTGATTTATTTCTTCCAGGTCTGTTGTACTTTCACAATTAGTCTAGCTCTCGTGCACCTCGGTATCTATTTATCATCTCATATATACATGAGGGGGACTGGCATCTTGTCGTTGCACAATCCAACTCACTGGCAAGCAAAGTGTGCCAGTGATCTTCTCTTGTGTTTGTCAAGAGTCCTGTATGGTTCAATGGATCAGACAAGAGAAGACTGTGAGATAGTGAAGTTTGCACGGAAATTCAATCCAAGCTCGTTGAGATGAGTTTGGATTTGGGTATGAGACGTATTAGGATCAATATCTATTTTCTAAGTATAATGATAATTTTAATAGCACGAAGTTTACCAGCCCCAAGATAACATAAAAACAAGATGATACATGTCCGCGAAAGCTACAAGAATTTTTTGTTCGTGTGAGGATATACAATTCAATAACATGCCGTAGATTTATTTCGAAAAGAATTTTTTACTTTGAAGTTGGCGTAGAGAGTTAAGTCTTTGATTTGGGTTCTTGATCAATAATAAACTAATCACTTCACAACAGTCATCAGAAAGCCGTTCCGGATAATAAACATCGCTGTACAAGATATTGTGTTCTAAACTTTCTTGACCGAGAGCTGAAAAACAAACAAACAGGAAGGTTAGTTAAATGCAATATCAGATGAATGAGATGAAGAGGAGATGAAAAGTGAAAACTTTGAGACATACGTTCATCAAAAGGTTGTTCGCCAGTGACCAATTCGTATAGAAGTACCCCGAGTGACCACCAATCAACATTCTTCGAGTAATCTTGATTTAAGATGATTTCAGGAGCTCTGCTATAAGGAGTACCAACATCACCACGAGTAAATCCAGACGAATCAACCATTGTAGCAGAACCGAAATCCGTTAATTTGACTTGATCGTTGTTCATCACTAAAACATTAAGAGCCTTGACATCTCGATGAATGATTTGATTTTCATGCAAATATTCAAGAGCTTCAGCAACTTGCAAAACATAAAGCTTCGCTCTACGTTCAGATAAGACTCGTTTGAGTAATCTATGAGCTAGATCACCTTTAGGTGCAAGTTCAAGAACGAGGTGAATCTCTTCATCAGTTGTATAAAATCCGAGAAACTTGATAATGTTTGGATGATCAACTTCATCAAGTAAATCAACTTCATTCATGATGATGGAAAAGTTACTTTCTTCTCGAGTAAACCTCCTCATGATTTTGATCGCCCAAGAAGATTGGTCAGGTTTGTAGATTGCTTCGTGGACTAAGCTAAATCCACCTGAACCGATCTTCCGGCGGATCTCAAAGTCATCAGAGGAAAGAGGTTTAGAGGGAGAAGTGAGAGAGAGATTAGAAAGATCATACTCGGGTGTCAAAGACATGAAGGGTTGAATGAAAAGTGAAAGATAAGAAAGGGGAATGGATGGGGTATTAGGAAAAGATTCGATAGGAGGGGGTATTGAGGGGAAGGGATGATGATCAGAAAGGGATTGGAAGGGGTGGTCGGCGTTGGTGGAGTTCCGGGGTGAAAGGATGTGGTAAGAGTGGAGTGAGATTTTCTAAACCGAGTTTCTCAAAAAAGATTATACGGTATGGCGATCGCTGAAGCTGAGGATGACTGCGGACCGCGATCAGCGAAGATCCTTTGTTGACATTATCATAACGCATTTTCTTTAAATCTTCAGTACATTATCGAAAAGCTTATTAAGCATGGCGATCAATAAAGGTCTCTTCCGTCAGTAGGGCTCAAACAAATCGCGATTTATTTCTTTTCACTTGTTTTCTTAGCTACGGCAAGGAAAATCCGGCTAGATATAAGCAGTACAAAAACATCACTGCGGTCACTTTCATAAATTTGAAGTGTTTATCAACTTTTATAAAGTTGAGAGTCCTTTTCCAAAATTATCGCCAAAGACTTTATTCCTTTGTTACAATGAAAGAGGGAGATCGCGCGGAGAAAGCAGTGAGAATGATCGTGTTTATTTCCACTCCAAGTCCCATTCCTCATAAAGACACGAGCTAGAGTAAAGTCAAGTTATTTTTTAAAGTCAACTTGATATTGAGCTCGACGTGCGCTCCAAGTAGGCTATCGATGTCAACAGCTTAATACCGACAGTGAATCCCTCATTTGATCCTCGTCGCACAGATGTCAAATCAGGAAGCGGATTTGCTCACACCCTCAGGACAGAACACTCTTTCTCTTTTGCCATACTCGACAATAAGATCATCATGAGGTCGCCGTTGACTCATAGTATATAGATTTTTACTTTTTGGGCAACTCGATATTAACATTCAAGAGGTCATTCACCTATTTTCATGATACATCTTGGCAAATATTGAATTCCAGAGTATACATAAAAATATCTTAGATGAGGTGAAGATCTGGAACCAACTCAGTTTGTTCTATAATGATCCATGGATTACACAATAGTTTATGATTAAAGGATTTTACAGCCTTGAGCAAGAGAATCATTTCCCAAGTATGTTCTTTCAGCATTCACAAGGGAATCCATTTTTGATACTGAAAGCTCTTGTATTGTCATAAAGTTCCACGAAAGACCTTTTCTCATATTTCATACTCGAAAAACACGTCATTGCTAGCGTGCCGGAGACCCTCACAGATCTTCACTATCATTGACCTCTCGAGATCCAGAGTCCTAAGAACCATTCACATATCATGAATGTGATGATACACCTTGGAAAATTGCATCGTGGAGATTATACAAGAGAAGATATTAGGTTATTTGAACATTCAAATTCGACTCAATATCTCTCATAATTCTCTATACATAATCGAATACCTTATAATCAAAGGATTCTGATGTTACAACCAAACAAACTACGTTTTATACACTTTTCAGTCTGTTTCTTTACAATGGACATCACATTATATTCGCGTATTAAGAAACGGTTGATAAAGTTGAAAGTGAATTGATGCGCTTTCGCCAACGGGATGATTCCTTTGGCAAGAATCATCAACACGAAGTGAATTCTTCTTGATTCATTTATCAATTCCATATTTCATCATTTTGAGACTCAATTCTGATCGAAAGAACCGATGTCCAATTCGACTGTAGCTATAACCGGTGCAGATGAATTGCAATTAGGATAATTCAATTCACTCAATCTCTTTGGTCGTTCAGCCTGATCAAGAAGTGTCACAAACTGATGATTTTTTATCTAGAGATTTCAAACCCGATATCCTTGAAAAATCTATTGAACTACTCTGCAGGCTCATACTTTCATAGAAATCTTGTCATTCAACATCACAAGTTCTATTCAAAAATAGCCTGATCCTCTTATAAGTTGGCTAAGGACCAATTTGTAGAGCTCAGATGAAAAGTTTTATACATGAAATTCAAACATCATAACCCATTTTTGGTGATTTGAAAAATCAGTTCATAACTCATATTCTGTAAAACACAACCTATCGTTTGATCATGAAAATGATCAACCTGACCAAAATCTGAATCTCTTCCATCCAACAGGCTTATTTTTCGTCTATCCAATTCTAATGTGAGAAACCTATCCTCAATTCGGCTTATGAGTGTAAACCTATCACGATCAGAAATCCACGTATTTCTTTTCCAATAGATGTACCTGAGAATATCTTCTGATGAAGTACTATTACCAACGGTAGCAAGAAGTCTGGATGATTCTCAAAAAAGCTTCATTTCTATATATCTTCAAATTGATCATTCTTTGTAAGACGTATAATTTCTCATTTGTTTTGAATATAAACCAGACCTTGAAGATGATAAGTTACAAAAGAAATCCTGAGAAACATCATAAGCCTTTAACTCGTTCATCATGTTCATCTGTACCCCAATGCAAAAAAATCTCTTGTTGTGTTAATGTAAAAATATGCTAGGCTACAACAAACCAACATGTTCAAGGCGCCAATTCGAATATCATTGAAAGCTTTATGATCATACACCTACAATCCACTAATTGCAATCTCAAATTGACAATATGTTTTCCCGTCTCTTTAGAACCTCTCAACTTAATCCAGCACCACAGAGTTTCCATTTCCCAGTCTATACCTATCAATAGATGATGAATACGACCAACAAAGTATCATGTACAATTATCAAGTTTTTAACTCTCACCCCTGCAAGCTTTTGGTCTACAGTTGAAGATGGGATTACCACTCCTGAACAAAGACACTTCAGCCGAAGTTGCAAGGTTGTGTGCATAGTCTAATTTCAAGGTTATGGGCAGAAAGTGAGGTCACACTGACAGTACGAAGCACACCACGCATTTCAGAGGTAAAACAGAAGGTTACGTGGGGCGTAAGAGGCGCTGTGTACCCTTTGACGGAGGGTTAATTATCGCGCATGATCTGCTCACACGATTCGAATTCGTCTTCTTTCAAAGCTTTCTGGAACAAAGTTTACACACTCAGATCAAGAAATCATCATCGGACAGTTAACTAGAGCCAAGTCCCTTTCTTATGTTGAACTGGAGGTATAAAACAAAGAACAAACACGAGTTTTGTTTGTCGTGGGTGTATTCACTCTTGATCTAGTTGGAATCAGTTTTTTTTTGATTCATGAGTACATATAAGATAAAAGTCTTTCATGATCTACATTTGACTTGATGACTTGATGATTCAAACTATTGCCTTGATTTTTATGTTGAGATATCATAGATCTAGAAAAAAATCTTCTCAACTAGATGCAATTCATCTAAACCCAGTCTACCAATTCAAGTGATGAGTGTCACACACTCGCGCGCACAAGTTGTATGCAACACAAATCTTGTGCAAAACACAGACGGACCAGTCCGATTGGATCTCCGAAACCCTTTTCACTTGCTGAGCAATAAATTTGACGAGTGAAATGATAGAGAATGCGGAGATAGAGTGAAAAGGCACGTCTGTGAGAACCAGAGGGAGGAACAGAGTTGTGTGTGTCAGGTTGGGAAGAGGAAAAAAGTTTTCCATGTGGACCCTGAGCACACATGTCACCACTGGCAGCTATCCCTCGGTATAGGGATAGGCACGTGTTTTCCCTCCCCTTTCACGTATATGCTCCTACGTGGAAATAGATGGTACCGTCGTGCCTTTGGGTACCATCTTCCATTGTCCCTTCTAAGAGTCGAATCAAATATGATCTTCAAAAATCTCAAGTTTTGAAAAAGAAATTCTTGGATCGCGTATGTATCTTGAAATGAACTCATCAAATCAGACAAATCATACCCTCGGTAAACGATCACTTTTGAAAATCTAAAACTCCTTTAGAGTCATTCTAACTCGAAATTCAAATTCCCAAAACCCCTTGATAATGTAAATTTCTGACCGGACTTCTTTTCGTGTTAGAACATCCGAATCAGCTTCTCGAATTGATTCGTCTTTTTGAACGGTAATCATATCCCTAAGATCTTCGTCATCTTTATGAATATAAGCAATCTGTTGAGTTCGGAAAAGAAAGTGCGATAAAGGTTACTTAAAAGATCAATGAATCAAAAACGAAGTAAACTGGAGTCGTATTTTGGAAGCTACATAGGTCCGTTTGCGGAGCTTTTGAAAGGTTTTCAACCCTTTGCTGAAGTCTGGGCTTAGGGTTAGGGTTAGGGGTTGGGGCTTTGAATCTGCTCTTCAGTAGTCTGACTCAAGTTCTCAACCAATTCATTCACGTGTAGTTATTTCAAGGAGGGCATCTATGCTTCTATAAATCTCGTATCTTGGGTCATCGGCCCTTATTTATACCAAGCATATACCCCAACCCGAATTTAATATCGATTCCTTTTGAATCTGAAGGGCACTCAAATTCCTTAAAAGTCATCAATTCTTCAATCAGAAAGAATTACGACGTATGTTCTGAATTGTAAAAATTGAAAAGGAATGAGAATTCTTGCAAGCCTGTATGTAGTATTACAAAAATTACCCTTTGATTTGTTGTATGTATGAGAGAAAGAAAATCTGAGATGGTTTTCTGGTTTGTTTGGTGCTTTGTTTAGTAGAATTCAATAAGGTTTTAAAGAAACCCTTTGACCATTTTGTTTTTTTCTTTTTATAAAGTATTTACAAACCCTTTTGATCTTGAATACAAAGCCTTTTTTTGGGGGGGTAGAATATTGAAGTTTAGGGATGAACTTGATGAACTTTTTTAGAGAAGATCAGATCATGAAAGATTTCTATATAACGATCAAGAGTGATTTTCTTTTTTAAAGAGTAAAAAGAATGGATCAAAGTTCAAGTTCAAGTTTACGATCAAGTTCAAGTAAGTGTTTTTTTGATTTCCTTGATGATTTCCTTGATTTCATTGAATTTGATCGATTGGTTTTGGTTTATGACTGTAGAGCTTTACCATAATGT